ATTGGTGCCTATTAAGTTGTTAGGAGCGGGGTTATTAGACAATAATTCCTAGGGGAACTTACATTTTAAAAGAGGTAACATATCTGCTGAGTTTAACTGCTTTAATTCCAACTTGTAAAATCAAATGGAAACTATAAAGTAACCCTGACCACTGGTGTTACTGAAACCAACTTCAAGGGCAAAACTATGCAAGACAAGCTCCCTAATTCCCAAACAAAATTTCAGCTGAGAGCATAGACTCTGTAACTCTCAAATCTCTTATCAGCCAGCCACACAGAATTCTTCTACTTCAAAATTTTACCAGTGACTTCTGGGCAAAATGTAGTATTTTTTTTCCTTCCCACCTGAAAGATACAAAGAAACAAACAAAAAGACAAAATATACAAAATTTTCAAGACAGTAGAATTAGATAGTGAGAGAAAAAGAGAAATAAATGAGGGGAGACTGACGATTGCTCCAGCTTACTGATCGCCGTGAGAGGATGTCCCTGCCACGGTCCAGGGCATGAGAACCCAAGTGGAGCCCAGGAGCCCCCCTCTTTCAGTTGAGACAGAGCTAGGATTCAGGGAGAACTGGTGGCCAGAGTTCTCAGAACAGAGGACTGGAGAGGAGAGAGCTGCACAGAAAAAGATCCCTGCGTGGCTAGAAAATACAAATTAATCTGCATTGACAGAAATTAGATCCAGGAATAGTGGGAAAGAAGGGATTACCAAGGAGCGCTAGGAATCTTCGAGGCATGATAGATGTGTTCATTGTCTTGATTCTGGTGTATACATACGTCAAAGCTTTTCAGTATGCACACTTTATATGCAGTTTATTGTATGCCAATTATCCCTCAATAAAACTATCAAACAAAAAACCTCCCCTGCACCACATTTCTGATTGTTTGCCTTGTAGTTCCAGGACACTGCAGAGACCATGCAGCGGGGGGATGGCCACCGCACTTGGACACGATTCATTCCATCCTCTTGATTCTCTGAACTCTCTTCTTGAATCATGTAAGTCCTTGATGCTGTCCCTTAAAGCAACTTCAGAATTACAATTTCACTTCATATTTTTGCATTTAACAACAGGAAGGATGTCTAGTATTTTTAAAGTAACAATCACTAAGGCACCCCAGAAAATACCCCCTGAGAATGGGCCTGGTTCTCATAAATACAACAATAACATTTTTTCTGGCACCCTAGCAAGGGCAGTCTGTCTAAAAGGTCTGAAACAAAGTTTGTATTACACACAATCTAGTGGGGCCCTGGAATGTCTGTTGGACTCTTGGGTCCTTGTTATATGACCTTGCTCCACCCCCAACCCAACAGCCTTAAAGATATTTCCCATTATCTTGTTTCATGAACTCTGCAGAAAGATACACAAGATAATTCACTCCTAAAGTTTAAACATTGGATAAAGTTTATCACTAGACAGAAAAGTAAACATCTTGTTATGTGATACTGAGACTCAGGGAACTAAATAAGTTTTTTGCCTCTCCACACGATGAGCATATGACCCAATTACATTTGCTGTTGCACTTCACTGCTTTTACCTTGATCCAAGCAACCATCACCATTCACCTGATTACTGCAGCAGCTCCTTAACTCGTCTCCCTGGGTCCACCTTTGCCCTCTTTCAGTCTATTTGCAACACAGCTTACAAAGCCACCCTTTAAAAACATAAGCCAGATTGTGTCACTCCTCTACTCAAAGCCTTTCCTCAGCTCCCATTTCACTTAGAGTAAAATCCAAATTCTTCACTCTGTTCAAAGCCCTTTTGACCCGGCCATTGAAACCTCTGACCTCTCGTCCTGCCATTTTCATCAGTCTCATTCTTCTCAGTCTTCCTGGCCTGTGCTCTGTTCCTGGGATTTGCCAGGGATGTTGCTGCCACTGGGCCTTTGCACCTGCTGTTCCTCTTGCCTATGAAGTTCTTTCCACGCAGCACCGTTGACTCCTTCCCCTTCTTCAAGTCTTTGCTCAAACGGCACAGTCTCAGCAAGGCCCATCCTGACCATCCTATTTCAAATTGCAACCTGTGCCCCATTTAGTTTATTTATTTGTTGCTTATTGTCTGTCCATAAGGGCAGGGATTTTGCTGTGCTTTGTTCTCTGATTATCCTAAGCTACTAGAAAAGAGCCTGGCACACAGTAGGCACTTGATAAATATCTGTTAAATGAGTGATTGATTATCTATTCCTTGATCTAGACATGAATACTTGAATGACCTTGGCCTGCCTATATGTAAATAGGCCAAAGTGACCTTCCATTAGGAGGAAAGAACCTGAGTTGCAATTTCAGGCAGGGTAGGGTGAGTACAGGTCACCTCTGGTTGCATTTCCAGCAAGTCAGGCAGTCAAGCTCTTAGCTTTTTAACCATTCTCCTTGAATTGTTTTTACAGTTTTATTATCGTGGCTACATTGCTTGTTCTGAGAGGCCCATCTGTCTCACAGCTCGTCCTCACTCCATCTGTCTTCTCATCACAGGCTCTCCCCCACTTCCCTTCTCTTTGCCCTTATGATTTGAGTAAGAGCAAAATGTCTTTGGCACTATCCAGGGAGAATTAAAAGCTGAAGGCTTTCTCTGTTGATACAACAGAGGGAAGCCAAGTAAATCAATTAGAGGAAAGGGGTGGAAGGGAGTGTGGGGTGAGAAGTTAGTTTGCTTGTTTACTTATTTATGTGTGTGTTTGTTTAAATTTCTTCCTAAAAAAAGAATTAAAGCTGAGCCAAGGGTAGGATTTCTTTTTCCTTTCTTTTTTCAGTCTAAGGCAGGGAACTAATAATTTTTAAACATTTTAGTATTTTTTTTTTAAATTTGGGTTTTTTGGGGGGCAGGGGTAGTTAGGTTTATTTATTTAATTTTAATAGAGGTACTGGGGTTTGAAACCAGGACCTCACACATGCTAAGCACACAGTCTACCAGTAAGCTATCCCCACTCCCTAATGATTTTTAAACATCTGCCAGTTGTGAAAGGTACTTTGTGTACACACACATATAAATTAAAATATGTATCTTACATATATAAATTTAAAATCAGTTCAGGATTTTTTAAATCATGAAAAATCTCAAATATGCAGAAAATTAGAAAAATGAACACTTACATACTCACTATTACTAATTACAATTTTTAATGAAGGGTCATAATTGTTTTAGCTAGATAAACTTTTACTGAGCTACTAAAAAATTACAGACATCAGGACACATCACCCGCAAGTATTTTAGCACCCATTTCTAAAGAAATTTCCTACATAACCCAAGACCATTAGTGAATTGAAAAATATACGTCCTGATATTCATAAATTTCCACAATTGACCATTGATTATTATTTTTTTGATATTCAAATTATCCTAAGTTTGGGCTGTGGAAGCTCCTCAGATCTAGTTCCTTTTGACACTACTCCCTTAATCTTTAAACATTTCTTAGCTTTCAGGCTCACCTTGCACAATCACTGCTGCAGACCACAAATCACCTTTTTTTCCTTTAAAAACTCTGATTCCTTTTAGTAGCAAATAGTATTTAGCAACCTAAGTGTCCATCAAGAGATGAATGGATAAAGAAGATGTGGTATGAACACAATGGCCTATTACTCAGCTATAAAAAGAATGAAATTTTGCCCTTTGCAACAACATGGATGGACATGGAGATTATTATGCTTAGTGAAGTAAGTCAGAGAAAGGCTATGTTATCACTTATGGGTGTAACCTAAAAGATAAAA